TGTGAGACTGGAAAACTAGATCCAGATAAAACGCCCAGCATCGTTCGCATGTCCGTTCCGCCCTTGCCTTCCGCTGCAGCCAACAGCTGGCCAATAAATCTCCACTCATCTAAGATTATCGCGCGAACCAATTCGAGGCTTAGCAGCTTGGTCCAATTATTCGCATGACTGGAACGCCCAGGCGTCATCTGGATGAATTCGCCGCCACCACATACTACGGCAGCCGGGTCGCAGCATATTACGGCAGCCGGGTCAAAAAGTATCTTTTTTCATCTGGGCACTTTGAGCTCAGATGAAAAAAGAGGTCCCGCCAGTTCACTTCCTCCCTAAGAATCCCTCACTGGCAAGTGGTACGCGCAACCCTTACCAGTTAGGGAATATTAGGGGGGTTTCGAACTGGTAAGCCCTATCAAAAGATTTCCAAATGTATCGTACGCGAGAACTCTTTTTTCATCTGAGCTCAAAGTGCCCAGATGAAAAAAGATACTTTTTGAAGGGATTGCAGGGAGATAAGAACCCACACCCAGAGGGAATGGATTTGGACAAGAAAACTGGAGCACGGCTGCACTATTTTGGAGACGCTTACCGAAAAAAAACTTTTTTTCCCCCAAGCAAAAAAATTTTTTGGCGCAAAACAAGAAGGGGAAGGGCAAAACACAACGAGGCAAAGAAGGGAAAGCACTTCCCTTCTGAGTTGCCCGCGGTCTTATCGGTTTCGCGCCGCCATCTCCTTCGAAAAGATTGGCCACAGGCGGGACGTCTCACCGGCCCCCACATGGTGGCGCTTCAATAAAGCCACGCGCTGCACTTTGCGGCATGCTGCGGCGCTTTCTGTCGCAAATAGAAAAAAGGCAGAGCATACAATAACGAAAAAGCTGCGAAATCTTTTGCAAAAAATCTGCCAAGCTGTTGGCCGTTTTGTGAGTCCCTTAGCCGTTTCGAATTCGCGGAATGTCCTTCCCTAATGGTTTCGGCTTTCGCACAGGTGTCAGCTTCGAACGGGGTAGGAAGCTGCTCGACTGGGAAGCAAGTGCGTTCTTTGGGGAAGCAGGTGCCAAGGGCGTTGAATTTTTGGGCATGGTGTACCAGGTTGGATAGTTTAAAGAAGTACACGCTTTAACATTGTGAGGCGCTGAGAAGAGTCCCCTCTGCCTTCATTCGCGGGTTGCATCCGGAGCGAGTTGGAAGGCAGGGGTAGGATGCACTGTCGGACATTGCTCAGGGTATAGATGACTTGGCGCGATATTTCATGGCAGTGCCACAGGATGATGGTCATATGTGTCATTCATCATTTTTCGTTTGCAAGATATGAGATTTGGTCGATTTTCGTGGGTAGCTTTTTACTCCTCATCATTTGGGTCTTGCGTGATGCTCATCCCCCTCCTAGCTGCACGCCATTGCTGTGTCGCTAACACGAGCGACCTCGGCGGAGGATACGGCGACGCCACTGAGTGTCGATACAAAGCGAGCCCATCCGATCTCGCTCGCCACGATTTCGCTCGCTATGAAAGACCAAAGCTCTTCTGGATGTGTTATCGTGAACTTGTGACTTTCAAAACGACAGTAGCAACGAAGCAGAGGGAAACGCTCCCAACGAGTGGAAAAGTAGCCATAGTTTCTTGCATTTGAGGAAAGAGATAAACTACACCACTCGTAATCTCTTGCATTATGATGTAGGGCTCCTGAGGTAAAATCAGACATAGCGGCGATCTACCAGTGACGTCCTCGACTTCGAGCTCGTCGGTCGTGGTTCTTTTTCCGAAACGCAATCCCATTAAGTAACTAGCTCCCCTATCAGGTTAGAACGTGATCTAGATGGCCGACGTGAGATGATGCTTCGCGTTCTTCTAGTTGTAGCCTGAGTTTACTTAGCGTCGTACTTCCTTGGTGTGGCCCGTAGAGAGGTCGAAAACAAGACCAAGCAATGGCAGTTGTTTAATATTCTACATATTGGAACTTTGTAGAACTGTAGCAGTGACTTTTTTCTTGCTTTCGCGTCAGGTTGTAGTCTTGTTTTTGGTACGTTGAACGACTTACAATCCTCGTGATTTTTTCTTGTTGATCGATGTGAGGTGTTTAATCTTGTACTCGATGCCATCAGTAGTGTCTTCCTGCCTTTCACTTAAGATGTCGCTCTTGCGTAAGATACTGACGCAAAAGTCTCGCTCCCACTCATTGATTATGTTTTTCTCAAATGCGTGGCCAACTTCTGCTGGAGAAAGTGCGGGCCCAAGTCCGTCGCCACCTGGCCCAGCGAAACTGACCGCATCGAACTAACCTCACCGAGGTAGCCTAACTAATCTAACTGCACCAATTTGACCTGACTAAGCTAACTAAACTAACCCGAGCCCAGGTAAGCCAACTAAACCAACCCGACAAAGCTGGTCGGGCTTGCCTGGGTCAGTTCGTTGCGCTAGTTTAGTTCAGTGCGGCAAAGTAGGCAAGCTAGGTAGCCAGGCAAGTCAGGCAGGCTAGGTAAATCGAACCCGAAGCTCAAGTGCGTAGCCAAGCCCACCCAAACTGTCCCGGCCCAACTGAACCAACCCAAGCCCACCCAACGAGACAACCCAAACACAGCGGGTGGACCTAAAGCCAGTGCCCTCAAAAGGGCGCGGGGAGTGAGCTAGCCTGACTAAACTAGCCGCGCAAGGCTGACTTAGCTGGGCTCGCCTTAACATGCCAAGTAGCCTGGCGATGGAGCTAGACCAGCTGAACGACCCTGGCGGAACTAGGCCGGCGATCCTATACTGATCACACTAACAAAGCCAACGAAACTAGCCCAGCGGAGCTAGCCGAACTGACTTGACAGACCCAGCCCGGCTAACCCACCTCGGCTAGCCTACTAGCCGGACTGGCCTAACCCGGCTGACCCAACTAAAGCAACCAAACTAGACCCGCCCGATTTTACTGCGCTCACCTTGCTGGAGGTTTCGCGCAGGCCCACTACTGTGGCTGAGAGTGATAGTTCCACAATTCGCCGCAAGTTCGAAAAGGGAAGAGCGCCATGGCAGCCTGACGGCCGCGCCGTGGTCTTCTGGCGCCACGATGAGAACTATTCGTATTGCTCTTGCGCTACAACTTGTCTTGTAGATGTTACACTTGCTCTCTTCAGTCGGTTGAAATTGCAACACGGTTCAGAGGCAAGCTTGTTAGTGTAGTTGAACGGTTGGAACGCACGACTAGAGATACTTGTTCTTAAATAGAGTAGCAAAACGCAAAAGTAGAAGGTATTACTGACCCCTTTGAAATCTTGGGAGACGAGACTTTCTATGTTGTAATGATAGTCAAAAAACGCAACTAAAAACTTAAGAGATTTGTCTCCAAGAACCCATTGAAAGGTGTTTCGTAAAGACGTACAGACGTGTCAAGAACGTCGTCGCTGAAGACTAGCAAGAATAAAGATGCAGTGTTCATTCTCTTCCTCGCTTTCGTCGACTCCAGTGTTTTCGTCTCGTGATTTCCGGTTTCGTTTTCGCATTTTTATCGAGTTTCGTCTTCGCAAGAAATAGAGCGAGAGTAAGAGTGTTGAGGGTGAAATTGTTGAAAGATCTGAGTGCGTCGCTCGAGTCTGAAGTGCTGCAATAAGCAGATGACTTTGGCTCGAGTGTTAATTTTTTCGTTCGTTGACTTTTTTCGTTCGTTGCTGTAGTAGGATGTGTTTTCGATATTTTTCCTGTTGTTGAATTGTGGTTGAGCAAAGATTTTTTGTGTAATATAAGTTTCCTGGAGTAGAACTCTGGTTGTACTATCCTAAGGGGCTCTGGTGCTAGTATCCACCTTAGGCACAACAAGCATTCATCAACTCATTTGTACCCTTTAAATTTGACATTTACTATCATAATTTTCATCACCGTTCGAGTGCAAATAAGATAGTAGTCCATAAGCATCAAAGTCGTCAGCTATTCTCGAAAGCTATGAGCATCCAAAATCAACATTTTGTTTATACATAGGAAAAAGAGAGAAGAATTGCGTGACAGGTTTTGCACAAATTTTGTTTGACTACGACGTACAGGAGTTTTTGAACTACCACGACCAAAAGACGATTTTCTTGAACTACGACCGAAATTGCATAAAAACAACCACCGAAATTGCATACAACAAACAACCCGAGCTGCAGAAAAGGTGGACACGTCTGGACAAGAACTACAACTCCGCAAGACAACCAAACATCTTCGAAGGAAGGAACAACAACTTCAGTCTACAGTAAGCATTAGGACTACTAGAACTCGTTCACAACATCTTCACAACCATCAAAATGTTATCTCAATATGAGAAGATGATGCATTTATTGTCGAAACGTCTGAAAAAGTGGTGGCCGCGTAAGGATGAAGACGCTGACTGGCAAAATGCTGAGATGTCCGATGATTCCGATTGGGAACAAATTGATGATGGGGATGAGGTAACACGACTAAGACTAAACTGTAATGAAATTTTGTAGGTGGTGAGACTAAGTCTACAACACTGTAAAGAAATCGTAGGTAAAGCAAAAAATTAACCAGGGAAGAATGACTCTGGGTAGCTGGCAATCATTTTTTTTTGAATTTCCCACAAACAGGAATTGGACATGCAGCCGGAGGCTCCGAGTCGTACGGCACGTGGTTTCACAGTGTTGGTTTTGGGCACCCTATGCGCCTACACGATCGTGGCTTTTATCTGCTGCTGCAGTGCGCTGATGGATTTCTTTGCTGCGGACGTTGCGGAAAATACTTACGATGACTGACGCTTATACTCCTAGTCGTAACTACTACTCGACAGGAAAGCGTGACACCACTCTATTATTTGTAGTTGTAGTCACGCTCCACTCTGCAACGCTCCTGTTACCCCTTTCGTGTTTTTACCCTCCACACCCCCTTCCTCCTTCATACTACGATCATCCACACGACCGCCGCACCCAAAGCCGCCACTACCGCAACTGTGATCGACTCGTCTCTGCCGTTTCAGAGAAAATATTTGGAAGCTGCGTTGTTGGACTTGGATCGCTCTGCGCATCCGTCTAAAGTCGTCCGCAAATTCACCGGAATCGCCAATGCTTCAGAAGCAGCGGGGATGATGGGACGAGGTATTCTTGGCTTTTCACGTCATTTTCGGAGGTGATGAAAAATATTGATGATTTTGTTCCCTGTCAAGAGCAACCCTACTACTTCAAGTTCTTGCATATTATACGCTGACACCTGCGTTCAAACGACGAGATCAAAAAGGGATAAAAACTGAAACCTCTTGATACTCGCTTCTCGATATTATACGCTGACACAAAGATTCTCTGCGCTCCTTCATCCGGCAATTGATTGTCCGCTACAATGGTGCCGAAGGCAGAAACGCGACCGAATCTACGTCTACGTCGGTCCACGATGCTTCGACGCTTGCCTTGATGGTTGTTGATGACAGGGAAGCCTCCTTCTCCTACGTTAATATTAAGGTGGAACATGTACTAGTATATAATCGATTTCACGGTCTCTACACGAAGCCGCTGATCAAATTATTCAATACTCTTTTTGAATATGAGAAAATGGACTAGTATTGCTCTAGCCTAGTAAAGCAGTCTACTAGTCTCATGTTGTGAATAAATCAGCGAAAGCCTCTAATCCGAGCTACACGAACTTCCGCTTGCAACAGGCCATGGTCGATGCTTATGTGTCCCGCGTGACCCGCAACCCCTACTCCATGGTCGCTCAGCGTCGTGCCATGGACTTGCTGCCTGCGACAGCTTTCGAAATTCACGCTCCGACGACGAAGCTTGAATTTCGAAAGTTTGGGCCTGCGGAGATGAACCCAGTGGCGAATGAAACGCGTGTTCCAGTTACTCCGTTTGTCCGGACCCCTCGTGCGATCGTGGAGACTCCTCGTGCCCCGGTCCGAGTTTCGTCGTCCTTGTCTTAAGAATTGTGGTGGTTGTAAGTAGTCGTGTGGGTTGGACTTTTGTAGATGGTTAGAGGCTGATGGAGGATGGATAGATTCATCGATATGGTGAAGGATCCGGATGAACTAGGCACATTGTTGAGATCTCTCTTTTGACTTATATGGTTATCAAGATCTTGCTTTCGCTGTTAGTTAGCTTAAACACCTCTCTGAAGATGGACCACTTTCTCAACAATAGATTACTATTCCTTAAATTTCTAATCCCTCGCAGTGATGGCCAGCTCGAACAGCCGTTTGAGCATGAACAAGCGCAGATTCTCTACCCGTTTCCCACGTTGGTTCTTCACTTCCTTCGGAGGCCGTGCTCGCTTTCCCGCTTGGAACTTGACGACTCCCACTCTGACTAGCACTACTACGGGATACGTTCGTCGCAATGCCTTTCTGTCCGCAACCGCACCGATGATGACTCCTCGTCGCAGCAGCATGCTGAGCACCACGACTAGTGCCTCTGTCCAGGCACATGCGAATGGAAGTGTTTTATGTTGGCTTGTGTTGTTTCATTCCGTGGTTGGCGAAGTGAGTCGAGCTAAAGTGATGCTTTCACTTTTCAGTCTACAAGGTGTTGTAAATGATAGGGACTACATCATTCTCAGTATTCAAGAATCAACTTTTAGGCTGCATCGGTGTCTATCGTTAGGCTGCTTCGACTTCTACGTCTATTAGGCCCAAGGGTATTACTAAGGCTACTACTTAGCCAATTCAGATAGGCTTCTATCGTTAGACTAACACTTAGGTCCAAGGGTATTGTCAAACGGCATCGACATCCATATCAATGAGAGACTGTGCTCTACATCTAAGTTTCCCAGCATCCATGCCTTCTGTGTTGTCCAGCACTAGAACTCGCAGCTTCGCAGAATATTTGCGTACCCGCAAAGTCGCCGCGGCCTATAACTATACTCAGGGGCTCGCTTTGAAATCCGGTTGGTTCCAGCATCGTCGTACTCTGTTGAAGCCGTTGGAGATTCCCGCTTGTTATGGCATACTAGAGTCTAGTTTTGTGTTCCGTGCTGCTTGTTAGAATTTTGTTCGTTGTGGTTTTCGTATTATGAGTGACACTGCCACGTGCCACCCTACGTCAACAGAAGTGTCAAAAACAAAAATAGTAGTCCCATCAAATAAGTTCGATTTCTATTCCATACAAGAAGTGGCTCATACTCTTCGTCTTCTTCTAACTCCCGTTATCCATGTCGACGCGTGCAGTCCCGCGATCCTGGTCTATGCCGCGTGCTTGGTCGTCTATTTTCTCGACTCACACCCGTTCTACGACTACCTCTGCCGCAACCTTGGCCTCGTTTGCAGAATCGATCATGCCGACACTTCTTACGGAAAAGATTTGCGTAGTTGTTGCTTTGCACAACGCTCGAATAGATTGTAGTTGTGATGATAGGAGGATAAGTAGATTGTCATGAAGATCATGATCAGAGATTGTCATGAAGATCATGATCGGAGATTGTCATGAAGATCATGATCGGAGATTGTCATGAAGATCATGATCGGAGATTGTCATGATCATGATAGAAGATTGTCATGCTCATGATAGGAGATAGTGGGTCTTGCCGTATCGACGTACTCTGATTTTTTAGATACCATGCACCATTTCTAATCTGCGCCAAACCGTCGGAGAACATCTGAATCTCGCACCCATGTACAACAAGTCCTGCCTTGGAGACATCATGAACACGTTGCGCCGCAAGGTGCGTGTCCGATCTGTGCGCAGTCGTGCTTGGTCCATCAGCAGTACCCCGAGTGACATGTTCGTCGTCGATCATGACATGGAGGAGCAACAGCTTTCGCCGTGGAAGATTGAAACGCTTAAGGCCACGAGTGTTGACGAGAATGATTAAATAGTATTACACATTATATAGTACAGTTTATAATCTTACACACAACTACACATCATTGTAGTACAGTTTATAATCTTCCTACACCCAGTAAGAGGAAGCATAAGGAGGAAAGCTTCTCTTACACACAGTAAGAACGAGCATAAAGAGGAAAGCTTCTCAAAGAGTTTCGATAGTAAACCGTCTTCTTAGCCCGCTCCTCAGATAGAATCTAATAACCGCTCTGAGGAGCGGGCTAAGAAGACTGTATGCAGAAATAAGCCCTTCTAGTACAAGGCCATCCTACGACGGCCCCTGAGCCGAATGATGAAGTGAGTACTCCACATCAATATAGAAGTACAGTCTCATCTCTATATCTTACACACAACGCATCATTGTAGTATGTGTAGCCGTAGTGTAGTTTCGATAGTACCGCTCCGAAAACGGTTTTCTTAGCCCGCTCCTCAGATAGAATCTAATAACCGCTCTGAGGAGCGCGCTAAGAAGACTGTTGAGGAGACGGAAATCAGAGCCAACCGCTCTACGGTGCAAGAAAAGCAGCTCTTCATGGGTGCTTTGATCGCTATCCCCGCACGCACTGCTAGGAAAGAACGGGTACTTATTTATTTGACGCGAATGTATGAAGATTTAACTTTTCTGGAAACCTTTTATTTCAGAACGTTGATGATGAATAAGGCCAGCAAATAAACATCAAGGGTCAAAGTCGGGTGGATTCCCGCTGGTACTGCAGGCACAGTCACTACCTCCTTTTCTGGCTTCGGCTGGTTAGGTGGTAGTAGCGTCTGATCAATTCCTAACCGACATGGTTCGACCTGTGCTGTTAGCGTCTTGGCTTCGGTCATTTTCACTATCAGAACTTATCTCTAGTAGGCGCCCCCTCAGGTTTTATGCGCCCCCAGTATGTAACTTGGATCTTATATAGGTTAACTAATTGATTGAAAGGGCGGTGGCATATAGTCCTAACGCAAAAAAAAAAACTAGTAGGGCGTCATACCCCTGCAGGTGTGCTGACTTGCTCATGGGGCCCCGCTGCGTCGGGTTGCGCCTTAGGTTTTCTACAGGGGCCGAATGTGCGGCTCCTCCGATATTCGTAGATTTGTGCGGTCTTATGCGCCCCCAGTATGTAATTTGGATTTTATATAGGTTAGCTAATTGATTGAAAGGGTGGTGGCATATAGTCCTAACGCAAAAAAAAAGGGGGGCTAGGAACAGCATCATCAGGGACACACACATGACAATTGTTTTTTCACTCAGCACCACTCTGCAATTAATTTTTTTCATACAGTCAATCACTGCCACTAGCACTACACGTCATCTCCTTTTGTTTCCCCAGCAATTCATTGTTTCAACCTCCTACTACGTACAGGCTTACCGCGGTTTATCCCCCTTCCGTATGGTGGTGCACCACGCTTTGTTGCCACCCCGTAAGGAGTACCAATTGGTCGTCGTCCCGCAAGGATTTACCGCCGCACGCTTCTTCAGAAAAAACGTTTATGGATAGTCGTAGTATTTTCATAGGTCTCGTAGAATTTATATCGCTGCGTTGACGTACGCAGCACAGATGAAGAAGTCTGTAACGCAGAAGGCAATTCTGTGTACAAGTATACTAGCACTCTGATATATCCCCCACTTCTCGAACGCAAATCAGATACTCCTACGACTCCAATGTGTTTTTAGGCACCTCCTACAACCCAAAAACAAAATCACAGTTCTAAGAAAACCAGCCGAAGCTCCCGCGAAGGGCTAATGTGAATCCCTTGACCTTGGTGCAGCAAAAGCAGATGTCCTTGTACATGGAAGTTGTGAACCCCCGTCGCCCCTACCTCCTCACCGGCTATGGATTCGGCAGCGCAGGTGGCGCAGTGACCGGAAACTTCACTCTTTTGGTCGATGAACGAGCACATTTATGATGACGTGAGATCAGAGACTTTTTATAAGCATAGAGTGAGGTGGTGTACGAGTGAAGCTTGAGTCTTTAGTTAAATAGAGTTTTGAGGAACGTTTTTTAGCTGGTCGGAAAAGAACGTTGCGTGGTTGAACGAGGAAGGAAAATTGAGTCACCACTAGTACCTATACGACGTGGCAGCTTGTTCACGACTAGTACCTATACACGAGTCACCACTAGTACCTATACGACGTGGCAGCTTGTTCACGACTAGTACCTATACACTTTCATGTGCCAGCATCCTATCCTACAATGGCGCGCCGAGTGGAGCGAAGACCTTGCCTTCAGCTCTGCGTAGTGCGATTTCGGCTTTTGTGCAGACCTTCCGTGGCGTGTTGGCTGATGGAAACGTGGTCGCTACTTTGGATAAGCAGGTACCGACGTGTATCTGATAGTTCTTTCATGGAGCAGTATACATTAGAGTGGTCGAAAAGAAGTTCTTTACAGGGTTTACACTCGAAAAGAAGTTCTTTACAGGGTTTACACTACGAAGTACTCGTATCACCCTCCAGGAAGAATGTCCTTCGGTGGAGCAGGAATTTTTGGACGAGTTGTGGGAGGAGAGGGATAGCCGTTTCCTACTGCCGGCGCCGGCCACCCGCTTGTGCTCCCGTTTGGTCAACTTCGTGGCTGGAAACAGCACCTCTACCGCAGTGATGCCGGTACGTACATTGAATCATGAACCGAAACAGCACCTCGACCGCAGTTGATTGAATCATGAACCTTGAATCATGAACCGAAACAGCACCTCGACCGCAGATGATTGAATCATGAACCTTGAATACCTCAAACGTCCTCAGGTAAATGCTGGTCCTTGAATCAAGAACCAACGAAATCTGCTCGTCTACTTAGGTATGTAAGAGATCATCAAACACTTCTAATGTTTTCAATACCTCAAACGTCCTCAGGCAAATCCTGGTCCTCCCCGCAATTTGTTTTTTCAATACCTCAAACGTCCTCAGGTAAATGCTGGTCCTCCCCGCAATTTGGCTAAGGCAAAAGCGGCTTATCGTGCTCTCTTGAAAGCAGAAGCGGCGAAGAAAGCTCGAGCGGAAGGTACTCCTTTTCACTTTGTGATTGTCGTTTGCTCAAAAGGAACCAGATTCTTTTTTTGTCTACGGTCTACCCGCTTTTTTTTGTCTACGGTCTACCCGCTTATTTGTGATAAGTAAGCAACAACATGCGTCACCATCAGCTTTGGAGAAGAAGCAGCGCCAATTGGCTGTCGCTGGCAGAGTGATGGGCGTGCCGAGTTACAGCGATATTGCCCGCGTCTGTTAAGGCTCAAGAATTATACAATTCATTTTTACAGCAGCCCGTTTGTACTTCTGCTCCCTGTTTCCTTCCTAGGACATCACTTTGGAGAACCATAATTTGGAGAGAAGATGAAATGAATTCTTTCGGGCTCCTCTAAGGTTGGAAGCAGAGTGCTCTGATCCGCCCTCAGGCTTTCACGCCGAAAAATGGAGGCCTCGTGAAAGCGAATGAGGAGGTCTGCCCAAACGAGGAGGTGACTAGTATGCGCGCTCGCGTGATCGTGTAATAAAAAATTTAGAACTTGTAGTTTTTGTGAAGAAGGAAGAAGAAGACCTCCTTTGAAGGAAGAAGAAGGAGGTCTTCATAGTATAACGAAGACTTTTGGTCTTCATAGTACGCTGACTTTTGTTAAAGTCAAGATACAGTGAAGATACTGAACAATGGTGTTAGAATAGCTAAGTCTAGTACTTACTGCTGTCAGATAAGAATAAGTATCTACTGCTAAAGGGGTTTCGAAATCTCAAGAACTGAAAACTAGTAGAGTTTTTTAAAGAACCGAAGTCTGTTGAGATCGGCGAGCGAGTGGAGGCTGCTTTTTCAGAACTTAAGATCTTCAAGTTGTTTGAATGTTCTTTCAGATGTTGTCCTAGCAAGAGGGTCAGTGTACATTGTCTAAGCAAAAAAGCAGTTGTTAAGTGTGCTGGTGGAATCGTTTCATGCAATCTTACTTTTTAAGCTGTTGAGAAGGTCGAGGCAGTACTACACGTATATGCCATGTCGCGGGTAGTACTATGATTGAGGCAGTATTTTTGTGTAAGTTAAAAAGAGAAGATGTTGTACTTAGTTGATGATACGGGTTTACTAGGGTGATGCTCGTTGTGCAATTTTGAACCTGCTGCCAGTGCATGAGGCGCGGAGTACATGCGTTGGCTTGCACAAGAATCATTTAAAGTAGACCTCCGCCTGTTTTGTCATCGTGTTAGGACTAGGAAGACTACATATGAACTAGACTACTACGAACATCGAAAAAACACGAAGGAAGCTAGCACCTGTTCATAACTCAGATGATTTACTCTGGAGTCCTAAACTACACATCTGGATTCTCACATCCGTACATCTGGATTCTCACATCTTCATCTTGAGTGAGGAATGGGAGTTGTATGTAGTCAAAGCAGAATTATCAGGAGGGTTTAATGTGCAAAGCCTGTCGCTCAGGTGGAACTACGCGCAATATCTACTTGAATGTAAAAGACTACATCTTTTCCTTGCAACCCATAATTCGTTAATTAATCAATAGTAGTGGAACAAGTATTAATGTATGTCGTGGTCGTGTTTCTGTTTTCACATAAGAGATATAGATAAGTCATGAGATTCAAAAATGAAATCTTCATCAGTAGCTGAGCCTTGATACATTTCTGTCTTATAAACAATAGTTGAAGAACAAGCAAGCCATGCTCCACCTGATGACGTGTGTACTTTTGTCGATGGCAGAAAAAAGACACGTTGTCTGGCAGGGCGTAAGGCAGGGGAACAAAATGCAAATTGCAAGAAGCTATTGTATCGTGTGTATCAACAATAGTAGTAATATAGGAGAACAAGTAGTATCTGTACCACAATGATTGATCTCATCTCTTCTTCTTATTAACGAAAGATTGTAGTCTGATAAATGTTCAAGCAGTTAGAAAATTTTGATTTTGATATTTTGATAATCTGTCTGTGACTGATGTTGTTTAGACCTTGATGCATTTTCTTATACCTAAAAAGTATGTTGATATGTCCCTCTGCTTATTCGAGTTCGGTAGTCGTGTAAGCAACAACTAAGTAATATAGCGTTTCGATCATTTCACAGAAAAACTATGATGTTGGTTTAGAGATGAATGTTTCGCTTCTTCAGCGTGTCTAAAAAGAGAGAGACTCTGGACTGGTATGTCGATTGCCTATCGTGTGGTGAAGTGTACTACATACCAACCTGCTAAGAAGTTTTTGTAAGTATGAAGATGATCATGATCATGTCATACCAACTAAAAAGCGTTGTCAGTGGATTTTCTTACCTAGGAACAACAGAAGGCCTTTTGTGGTTTCCAAAGTAGGATGTCCCTGCTGAACAGATGAGTCAAAATGAACAGAATTATTATCACAGTTATTATGTATGAATGATCTACCTAAAAATGTAAATGTCCACCTGCTCTTCACGATTATACCATCGATTTTCATAATTTTTGAGCTGGTGTATGAGAGGTCACCCTGTGGATGGCGAAGCAACACCTAAACTAACCTAGTAGGCTTGTGGTGCATCAGAGTTGACTAGTCGGCGATCGAACCATCCTGCCAAGTATCTAGCGCTGTAGCGGTCGCTCCATCCTCCATCTAGCGGGTGGTTTCTGACGTAAAAATATGAAAGCGTGATGAACTATCTCATAATCTTTTTCTTTGTCTACTGAGCCTGAGATGAAGGGGTGGCTTGTTCTCCTTCATGTTTATCATGATGAGAAAGTGGCGCGTTTACTATCGTGACAAGTAGTCAAGAAGAAGAGCAATTTTGTGTTTCGACGTAACAATCCTCCTGAGCTAACATTCTTACTTAATACTGAAACGAAGAAATACCAAGGGATGCAGCTGAATCTACTGGTGCTCCGAGTATGCCTGGTGCTCCCAGTATTTCTGGTTCTCCCAGTGCCACATTTTGACCACATCGACAGGATACGTAATAACAGGTTGTCATTTCTTGCCACTCTCGTGAATCTGAAAAAAAGCTTTCGTCCAAGTGATGGTCTCGAAAAGACGAAGGATGGAGGTGGTGTGTTTTTCTAAAGCGTGCATTTGTCTGTTTCTGAACGATGGTAACACGGACAACAGCATGCATGTTACAGTGTCTATGTGGTTAAGAAAGGGAGTCGGTGGGGCATGCTGACGGGCAAAAGATAGTTCTTCGTATGTCTGTTCCTTGAAGGTGGTGCGGTTTGCGAGACCCTGAGGGTGGAAAAAAATGAAACTCACTTTATTATCCTCCATCTCCGCCTTTTTCCGCTCCTCAACAAATTATCTTCACAATGTACCCCTCATCCCAAATTTGACGAAGCGTTTTTTGGCAACTCCCCTACCCTCTTAGCCTTGCAAACTTGTCACCCGAAAGACTACCTCATGTTAGGTAAATGAATGAATGAGTGATAAGTCACATTGCATTTGGTAGATTTTAACCAGTCATTGGTATTGACATCAGTATTAACTCGTTGTAGGTGATATTCCATTAAGAAGCAGGTTCAATAGTGGTTCAAGAGTAAGAACTTGTTGTACTTAGGTGATAAAGACTTTGTAGGTGGCAAAGACTGATAGCTCCTGAGAAAGACTAGGAGAAACAAAGACAAGAATGTTGCCTGTAGCACCCGGGCTTTCGCCGGAGGAGGTGGCGTCGAGGCCAGGAGTGACTGCGTTCGCCAACAGCCTCCCGGACTATGGTAATCCAGCCAGTTTGTTTATCTTACGGACGAAGCAGATACTTCTACTACACTTACTTCAAGAACAGCGTTAGTACAGTTGTAGGTGAACACTTCCAATTCACTTTTTGCATCCTAATTAGGTTTTGAGACAATACCTCGTGCTAGGTAAATGAATGAATGAATGAATGAATGAATGAATGAATGAATGAATGAATGAATGAATCACTTCTGTGAAATGCACTGATGTTTTCTGAGCCCAGACTTCTGGAGCCCTGGCCGCTGCCTGTCGCAAGCCAGAAATCTCTTAATCTTAATCTTCGGTAATTTTGAAAGCAAGAAATTAACACTTATCATGATAGCGGCGTTGGTCCACTAGGACGAAGGAGCGACTATTCTGCAAGTTGAAGTTTTTGTCTTAACAGCAAAGGCAATATCCCGATTTCCTCCTCTAATCCTTCCCACCACGCTTTTGGGTGAACCTGTGCCGCATGACCCAGATCTCAGTATCCCGAACCTTCCTCTAGAGCCCGAAGCCGCAGAAAAACAACAAAGGGAAGTGATTGAAAGGGTACTTGGATAGTGAAGAAAATTATAGTTATAAGGACGCCAAGATTCTGTTCAGAGTACTAGAGAAGTAACGTCCTGTTGAACTACATGCAACAAGAATCGGTCCTTCACGCTCGTCAAATTCAAAATCCCATAGGTCCTAGACAAGTTGACGAGGAAGTTTTTGCACAAGGTTTTTCCTCCGGGAGCAGAGGTGAATAACCGCGATTCTCTCTACATGGGTCGTGCGGGGTGCGCGCTTCTCTGCCTGAAGAACAAGAGCTACTTCTTGGGTCATGACTATTTTTACGGCTGAACTGATTCATCGCATTGTAATTCTCGAGAAATGCTGAAAGATTCGTTCTCTATCTGTCTACTATTAGCTGCACTTTGGTATAAGATCATGAATCAGTATAAGAGTATGAGAGGAGACACACGAGCTTCGATAGAAGACATTTCCCATGCTATACTTGGTACATTAGCAACATCATTGATAATTTCAGTAGTTGAAGGAAATAGACACACTCCCATGCTGTTGGTACATTAGCAATGACGTTACCTAAGCCGAAACGTCTCTAATTGCTCATGAGCGAGTTGGTCGACAAGCTGCATTACCGGCATTTGGACCAAGCCATCAGCGATTTTCTCACCCCAAGTATCACGTGGGGTCAAGACCGCAAGGAAAGGAGCAGCTTATGGACAGGTATTCTAAGCTGTTGGGTATCTGCAGGGTCCCATCGCAGTTGTTCAACAACACTTTGTATACCTGATCGCGTTGTTCATACCTTCCGCCACACTATCAGCAACAGTCCCTCCTACCACCACCACCACCACCACCACCACTCCAAAAGGTTCGCCATTCTATCCAGGTTTGGAAATAGGTCTGTCTAGATGAAGTGTCAAATTTGGAGGGTCAAGGATACAACATAATCCTCCTCCTACCACGAGGATAGGCTCCATGGGGCTGCGTTTCGCGCGATTATATCACAAGTGGGTCTTAGAAACGGATACACCAGTAACTACGGGAACGGCCCAGGATGATGTGGATTTGAATCTGATGGAGGAGAACGTGAATTGGATGGAGTATCTGCCAGGAGAAGGAGAAGGATTTTTGTGTGTTATGGGGAAGGTACAAGTACTGCTAGCGTCTTGGCCTCTGGCCTTGCTCTCCATCAGAACTAGTAGTCTCGACGGGTAGGTGCTACGGACAGCTGCGCTATCAGGGACTGTGTACACGTGACAAGTTGGCTGAAACGACCTCAACACCATTTGACAGGTTGGACCATGAGGTAGCATGACATGACATGACGCCCTCAAATCTTATCTCTACGGGTACCTCACATTTAAATCACATCTCTACGGGATGCGTTGTAGCCTCTTTACCAACAGGAATTCAAGACGTAGCACGAGGTATCATAACATAACATAACTTGCCGGTAGTCTACTAAGGTGACTACTTGGGACGCGAGTGAATGAATGAGTTGTGGTATGCGGTGTATAAGTAGGTCTAAGAGTATATTCTTCTAACTTTGGCCGCGCGGGTTATTTGCGAGCACTGCTTTGGCTGTTGAGCGCATGCAGGTATTACTTTTGATTACTTTGTATTTGGACAGATTATTGGCCATTACTATAATTCTGTACTTATATACCTTTTACCTATCCTTACTTTTTCTTCCTAGTTAGCTTGGCTTCACCCGTATATGGACAGACTATTGTACCAAGATTGTTTGGTTGCTTGGTAAGATCAAGGTATATTTGTATTTCGTCTTCCAATCGATCAATCGATCAATCAATCAGTCAGTCAGTCAGTTTCTCTCTCCACAACTCAGGTATCCGAAGACAGAGGAGCGACTTTTGTCGATGATTCGCACTAACGCTTTGGCTATGATCGAATCCTTGACCAAGTATGCGCACGAAAACCAATACGAGACGACCTGTATCCCGTCTTCTACGGTGTTCGTTTCCCTACCACTTCGATGCCAGCAGCTGACTGAGACGACGAACACTTTGTTGTTATGAAGATGAACCCGCACTTAAAGCAGTAAGAGGTGGTGAAAGCGGTCTTGACGAAAGTTCGTCAATCCCAAAGAGAAGCGCCTAAAAAAGGTTAAAAAATAGAAAAAGGGAAGTGCAACAATCAAGTCCTGTGGGCGACCTCTTGCTAGGTAAATGAATGAATGAATACGAGCAATAGCTGTTTTCAAAAGTTTTTACCTTCAATAACAGCGAACCTCAAACAGATCAGACTACTTTTTCCTTTCCTCTAATCTCCATCAAGCAAGGGGATGTGGGCGGAAGCATGGGTTTGATGGGCATTTTCTACGTTTTGCTGCTCATAGTAAGGGAGTGGAATAAACGCGAACTCGAAGTGCTAGAGTGGCAGGAGGAAATTCTAGATGCTTTGCGGTTTCTAGAAACCAAGGAGAATATCTGGAATGGATATCCAGAAAATTTGATTATGAAGCCGTGAGTTATTAGGTGGATCCATTCCTATCCCATTCCCAGTATCCTAGTGTGAAGGTCAAGATATGTAAGTGAGTAAAAAAAGGAGTCCTTCTTATACTTACAGTAGGAGGTTGATTTTCATCTTCAGAAGCCTATGCAGGAAGAGGTGGTAGTTACAGTGTGCAAGTGTAATTGATGTTGTCTAGGTCATAGTCTTTTGTGTCCTTCTTCATGACAGGAACGGCTCACGACACTTATTTCTTTCTATTTAGAAGTATGAGCCGCATAGAGCTTCCTCTTCTTCTAGCTTTTCATAGCCTATGCCTGTAGATAGTCTGAGCACAGTTCCCATGCAAATCTATCTCTCTTTCATACTTTGCGACGAATGGGGTGGCGGTCGATTTACGGAAAATACGTTCAACAACGGCGCAACTGCCGCAGTCTGGCTCTACAATTTGGCGTACGAGGTCTACGGACGAGATAGTTTTAAGGAGACAGCAGAACGAGCAGCCGAGCACGCATGGCAGACTATGGCTCACAGTGAATAGACTAGCTTTATAGGACACAAAGTTTGTTGTCGTCGTTCTCATTTTTCAAGTCGTAACAGGTCCATCTGGAGCTTCTCGTTGAGCAGTTTTGTACAACAGACGAGACAGGTCACCCTGTGGAAGGCGAGTCAACTCCTATTCTATCCTAAAGAGGCGAATCAACTCCTATTCTATCCTAAAGAGGCGAATCAACTCCTATTCTATCCTAAAGTCAAAGTTTCTTGTCGTCCTTCTTATGTTTTCACTTCTAGAATAGAAGCTCCCTCGTCGGAAGTTCATCTTCGTGGTAACAAGTGAGTTTCCGACGTTGTTCAGTGAATTGAGGATGAGCAATCCAACCGATATGTTAGGTAACGATGAGGAGTTCCACCACCACTGTCAGAGAAATTACGTAGACTCAGGGAATTTTTTTTCAAAGAAATTACGTAGACTCAGGGAAATTTTGCAAGCAGGATCACAACTGCTAAAAATTTTGCTCTCTTCTAATCGTAAAGCATTGACCATAGCAGAGATTGGCGTGGATGAGATTCGTAAGAGCCCTGCCTTGAGTATTGCTCTCGTGCAGTACGATGCAGATGGGCAAAAAGCAAAGAGGGCAAAGCTACATGGAAGTATAATCATCATCCAGACGGTGTTTAAGTAGTGCAAGCAGTGTGATGTATAGGAAGCTCTCATGAAGATGATCCTCAGAATATTGTACTTACTTGTGTATGTGCATCTACACTGTTGTACTAATCCAAATCCATGCAATTCAACACTACAGCTGGCCGACATGAGGAGAGTTCGGAACAGTTCAGTAGTAAGATGCGAAGTGGACACTCGACCTCAGTAAGCGGAATGGGCGCATACAATAACTCTTCACCGATTTTATGGCAGATAGTATAGAACAATTTTGTAGAAGTAGAAGCACGTAGAAGCATCCATAGGAGAAACCACAATGTCTCTGTCTGAAGAGTTGCTATATTACTGTAGTTTTGAGTCACAGTATAGCATTATAGATACGGCAATTTTTTGCAAAAAAGGACCTCTCTAATTCGGCCACCCTTGCCTCCGCGCGTAACCTCCCGACACCGAACGCAGCGGGAGACGCAACATGTTCAAAGTCCGAGTGGACGCACTACGCATGCACCAAAAGAGCACTAAGAAGAGGAGGTCGATAAGAGAAGTAGGTTGCTTTTCCCTCGTACGTCCTCTTCCTTCCTAGCTTTCAATAAGAGAAGTCTTACGCTGGCTTAGTGGAAGAACACAAGTAGAGTTTTTGCGGCTGTCTTTAGCTATTCCTCACAAGGAGTAGACGTATTTCTTTTCTCTCTAATCTGAATACGATGATGACCCACAGAGTGATGAGGAGGAGCGAAAGGATTTTAGGATTTACGGCATCAATGTCAAAGACAAGCGTGGCCGCACCAGTGGAAGGCAGGCGCAAGTGAAGTTAAGACAGGTTTTTGAGATTTTCAGCGAGAACATGTTGACAGGCGCCATCAAGCGAGGTGTACGCCGAAGAGGGTAATGGCTCATTGAACAAGATGAGAATCATCGAAAACTCAAAATAACCGAGTAGCCAACTGAAATAAAAGAGCACTCCTACGCTCCTTTTCTTTCAGTATGATCTCCCTTATTCTAAGTACTAGTTGCTCGCTTATTATAGTAGTTATCGAATAGCCGTATACTTTGATCTTCTAAGAAAAGGTTTTCTGTTGCCGTTGAAGGGGGAGAGCAAGAAGATTGTTTCGCCTTTTGGAAAGAGAGCGAAGTCCGAGGAAGATGAGATGCCAATGAGTGTCTCTCATCCGGATAAGTACTTTTTACACATTATGGATTACCTTAATAGAGTACTAGTGATCTCAATCGATCTTTACATTTTTCCACTTAAATTGCTTGGAACTCTTCTTCAGAAGATGCACTTTGTTCACCCTTCTAACAACACCAAAATCAACAGATTCATTGTATTGCCTAAACCAACTACAATATGATCCAAATGGAAATTTCCAACACAAATCTCTCCAGGATGGGTATCCTCCACGACGATTATTTCAAGAGCACACGTAGCGTGTACAGTGACACGCGATCGTGGTTGTCCCACGAACCTCTGGTATTTTAAGGGTAGTTCATCACTATCCCATGTGGACTGTACTGAGTGAAGTCCCCCCTGAGCTGATCTGAAGGGGAAAATAAAGGGGGAAAAGGGCAACTCACGCGACCAGGGATAGCGAGAAACTTCCTCTAAGTATTGTCGGCTAAGACGGGTAGGAGCGTTGCTACCCGACCATTCCTGATCAACCATGGTAAGGGGCCTTTAGCCAGAATCGATAATGTGCGGAATGTCATTATGGAGGATAGTAATGATAGGAGCATTTTATTTAGATGGCTTTGATATTAACAGTTGTGTATTTGATGTGTTTATTTTTGTCAGAGTTGTTTGATTCGTTATGAATGTGTGTTATGAAGAGCAGACGCAGAAAGTCACTATAAACATTTAAAGACGGAAATCGTTGAGCGTTTTTTTTTTGTTTTAATTAGAGCCTATTTCTCTCTAATCCTCGCACTTGGGACGGCGGGGTGTTACGGCTTGGCGAACAACAGTCCATGTTCCAACCAGAGTTGACGAAGCGAGTGCTGGATCACAGTCTCTTCTCCGGTGCAGCAGGAAACGGATACGCAATGTTGAAGATGGTATACAGTTACAGTCTTTCTATGTACTAGACGATTCTTGATTCGAACAAAGCGCCCTTGTCACTACAAGAAGTGCTCGTTCCTTACGCCGTAAACTTAACGGAGGATCACTAACCACCCGTAAACACCCCTAAGGATTCCTAGCCAGCGGCTCACGACCCCTATTAACCACCAGTAGTAACTGCTAAGCATCCCTAGCCACTCGTGAACACCCCTCATAAGTCCCTAAACACCTAAACACCTAAGAACCCCTAACCACTGCAGGCCAAAAGTTCGGACCCTGACGCCGATAAGTGGTTGTTTCGTGCCAGACAGCTAGCCTATGTCATGTGCGATCAGGCTGAGCGCGACATCGACTCCTTGGGCGCCGTCGATTTCCAACTGGGAGAAGGCTTCGCGGGTCTCATGTCGTTCTTAATCGACGTGCTGAACCCTCATTCGGTGGAAGCGAAATTTCCGCTGTTTGAGTAGAGAAGGAAAAAAAAAAATCGGAAATCCGGTAAACCGGTACCTCTCAGAAATGCGGATAGAATAACAAGAAACTAATACTAGACACCATTCTTCATGTGAAAAATTTAGAGCACTATCGTAACCTGGTCAACGCACTATTGTAACCTGGTCAACTACAACAACTATTGAAATACAGAAAACTGATATGCTCCCATGTGAAAATACTAATAGCCTGAGCCTGAACTTCTACATCAAGGACATTCATCATGTTGAACAAATATCATACTCAAGGCTTCCTTGAGACTGTCATGAGCACCTCCACGTTCGCATGGCTAGTATTCTGTCAGAGACTATATCATAAAGCTTGGCCTATCTATCAATCATAATATGCTTCTCATCGCTGGGTATATATTTTTTTTCCTGGGATTTTTCATCTGAATCGTATTTTTGGTAATCACAGTATTTGGGTAGTGGGAAAAGGATTCAAACAAGTCTAAACAATCTACAACTATGCCTTTCCGAAAACATCTTCATGTACTATACGATTTTCATATTGAGCAATTGCTTCCATCATACTGAGCAAACAAAGGAACAAAGACAAACTGCACAGACGAGCACTTCATCTAATGAGACAGACGTGAAAAAAGAGGAAAATTGGCACACCACGATTGCACGACACTATGCATGAACAAATGTACAAAAGTCATTAATACCGCAGCTACTTGTGAACATGATGAACATGAGAACCATTCTCGTGCGTTGAGGAGCAAGAATGAGTCGATTGTTTTGTATAATAAATGCGACAAAATGAGACCTACAGGGCTGCTCAACATTTTGAAAACACGAAGATTTGCTCAACAGTCTTTGACGAACATACGTCAATGAAGCAAAATAAAGATGAGTTCTTGGCTTCTAATCGCATGGTGCGCGCATCGTCGTGTTCCATGGCTAAGCCCGGCCTTTCTGGAGTCATGGCCCCTGCGATCGCAAGCCAGAGAACTTCCAACTTCAACTCCAATGTGAAGGACTGACCTCGACCGATCACATCTGCAAAAAGGTCGTGGAAAGAGGAAAGAAGAATAGAAAGGGAAAGGAGGACAGCCTGTTAATTAGTGTAATCTTTTATACCCCACGGATGGGCGCACTACTACTCCTACTACTCCTACTACTCCTACTCCTCCTACGACTCCTATTGGCGCTCTTTGCAGATGATCTTGGTGCTTTGTATTGCCTTGCCACGTACTGTGCCTGTTCAGCGTGCGACTGCGAAAACGAAAAAATTGATCCCCGTGTTGAAGGTTACGTCACCTGTGGACCAAGGTGAATCAACAAACGTCGCGGTCCTCGTATTTAGATGAAAGAAGCCGATGAAATTTACACGATAAACTGCCCTATTGGAGGATCCTGTGGAAGTGGGACACTTTTAAGATTTGTTGAAACGTCTATGCTATCACAGAAATCTACGTGCAACAAAAACGGGTAAAAATCAATCTTGGAAGAAGTCTCTATCACTGTTGTAGCAATGTCTTTTGTTTCGAGATCGACTGTGGTCTCGAGGTTTTCGCAATGAATAGTGGGAACTACTGTCTGCTTTATCTTTTATAAAGAGGATGAGAGAGAATACAGTATAGCAGAGGGAAGCGCGAGGAGCAGCGGCAACCTCCGCTCGACAACGAGGAGCGCCACTGTAGAGACAGCGGACCACCTCCACAACTTCAATATCAGAGAAATTCGCAGAACTCAAAAGGGACGCTTAAAGCAGTAAAAACAGCCGGCTCGCTTTCCCTCTTTAGGTGTTTTTTTCTAGACGCAAAATAGATAAATGCATTTTTATTGTGGTAGGTAACGGATAACAAACTCGTTCTTTTCCTACATTAACATCTGCGGCCGTAGGTTGAAGCCGAGTCGGCCACGACTTATTATGTCGGCCACGCATCTAAGATTATGATCATGATCATCGTCGTGTAACCACATCGATTGACATGTCAGAACCTTTGAATTTCGATGTGACTAGAAGCAGGGGTATGTAAAAGAAAAGGGTATCTAAAGAAGAATGGGTAGACTAACCCAGTACTAGAGGGGTATCTACTAAAGAAAAGGGGGCATCATCTTGTTTGATGAAGGGCCACCTTGTTTTCGAAAAGGGTCGTATCTCTGTATGTGCGAATGTTGTTGGCGCCTATCGTCCTCGTGCATGGAAGCAACTACGAAGTGTGAGAAACAAATAAAGTTAGTCATATTTTGTCATAAACGTAATTCGATAATCCATCCATCATCATCGTCATAATATTAGTGAAAGGGTAATATCAAGGGCTGTGCCACGGTCTGTGCTACGTGTAGGATTGAACTAAGCAGGGCAACTTTTTTCTAAATCTCAAGGAATGGGTTCTGAGGCGGGTAGTTCTGGGTTTTGAATCTTGATGGTTTTCTGAAGGTAGGACTGGGTTTTCTGAGGATTCTTTTGGCTTTTCTGAAGGTAGGACTGGGTTTTCTGAGGATACTTTCGCATTTTCTGAGGGTACAACTTCTGGGTTTTTTGAGGGTCTTGATGAAGTTTGATGTGTGCCGTTTCTCTGTCATCTACTTCAATAGAAGCACAGGGCCTTAGAAGTGGGGCATTGGTGAACCTCATGGGTGAAGTGCTAGTCTCATAGGAACAGCCAGAGTTTTTTAGAGGATGTTGTTGGACTAGAAAGAATGAAATCATGACCAGATAGAAGATTTCGTTGTGCGTAGTATAAAGATTTGAGACGACCAAGAACCAAGATTTTTTCAATCGTTTGATGAAACTCAGACCTCTTTTGCTTCGGGTGTGGATGAAACTCAGGGTTTCCGACTGAGCGCTTGTGCTTTCATACAGTTTCACTTCGCTGAGTGGTTGTACCATTTGAGCTGTTTTATCCCCTGCTGGTTATATCATCATATCTATATCTGATATCAGATGTCTTGTCCCCTGAAGCACCCCACGAAGGAATTTCTTCACATAGTACCAGAAAAACGAGCAGTGACTAATGCAATTATACTACGGGAGATACCGCTAATGCAAGCTGCAGCCGTCCAACGATTTGGCCTAATGTGGTTATGTTTATAAGCCTACTCATGTGAAGGATCCCTAACCCGTAGCATTCAATGTGAAGGATCCCTAAGTTAACCTAACCTAACCCATAGGGCTAAGGACCTAAGGCTACCCTGTGCGCCGTGCGTTGTACTATGCCATTGCGGATAAGTAGACCAAAGCAAATATAGCTGAGGCGTTGTAGATATCGAGTCAAACGATTCGGTCTCCTATGATGCTAAAAACTGAATCTTGATCGCAGGTCTTGTCCGATTGGGGACTTTTTTCTCGATCATAGGAATGTAAAAAAAAGACTAACTTCTGTCTTTGAAAGAGCACGTTTTTCCCTCTTTTAGTAGGTACGCTACGGCAGTAAGATCGTCTCCTATTGTGAGCCAAGGTCTACTCCTACTCCTCCTACTACTCCTACTACTCCTACTGCTCCTACTACTCCTACTACTCCTACTGCTACGCGTTTCCGTAGTCAAGGCTTTGCTACTACGGCGCCCTTTTATTTTTGTGAGAGCCACACGAATAGTGCGCGACCTGCTACAATGGTACAACAACTTACAAGTCGAAGTTTATCTTTGTCGCAAATATATTTCTATTTCTATCTACGAGACTTTTTGTCTTTCAACGCTACAGAAGATCAAACAAAATGAGTCCGCCTTACAGCTATTTCGTGCAGCAGCAAGCGCCCGCAGGAGGTGGAGAAGGGATGCCACCTCCTTCGTCTTCGTCCTATAGAAATGCAAGATGGGACCACGCTCCAACTTGGTACAACAACAGTACGACAACAATGAGCAACACAACGAGTCACACAACAATGAAGGCATCCGCTTCTTCTGCTTCTGGTGGTGGTATCGATCATCACAATGGTTATAATGGTGCGAGTACGTCGATGAAGAAGCCCTTGTCCAGGTTCTATCGGGATCATGAGTCGTACCCTCAGTATCAGAAGTCAGGGCTCAATATTGGAATTCATATTTCACTGTAACTGCTAACATATTACTGGTTGTTCCTTCCTTTCATTATAAAGTATAGGTCATTTCCCTTGTCCCCTTCTTCTGATGCGGAAGAAATGAGCAAAAGCTCTAATGAAGGGCAGGACCATAATGGCGGCGACAGGAGCTGGCGACGACCATTCAACAGAAGGAGCTTTGTGGCCGTGGAGAACAGGCAGGTCCTCCTCGGGTGCGCGAGGAGGGGGTAAAGGGATGAAGCGTGATGGTATGTATGTGCAAGTAAACGGATCTGCGACACATGATACACATCATTACCTCCAAGGACAAGGAGCTAGTATGTTGGACGCCGACCAACCTGCGGCACCGTCAGACTTGATTTCTGACTCTTTTCTTGGAAACTTGAGTCAGAGCCAGAAGTTGATGGAAGAACGGAAAGAAGGCAACAGATTAAGGCAACGGACTATTCGGCATGTTGGATTTAGTAGGAGTTATTTTGTCATCCGTAGAGAAACGGACTACTTGTTTCGAGAGTTGCAAGCATCATCACCATCATCATCAGCGTCGTCGCATTTCGTTTTTGCAGTATTAGTCTTCTCGCTTTCATCCGTTTCTACGGTCGTCACGATTGGCGATATCAAAAACGAACTACACATAACATTTTGCAATTTAGTAAACGCTCACAGTTGTATGTTGAGGCTGTGGCCACCTCTTGTTGTTCTTTAGTAGCGTGGGTTGATATTCTTGCTGGCACTGTTTTGTCCTGCCATTAGCAGGCTAGTAGCACTAAATGGGACACCATGGTGATGATAGAAATACGTCAAATTATACTCATAAACTACTCACGGGTGTAGTCAAAAGTAATTACGTTTCTAATCCATCGAGGAGCAACAGATCACGGCGGAAATAGTTTCTTTATGGTTGCCTCTTCTCGCTATCATGTTGACGAGCACCACGTCGATCACGGAGGACCACGTGAGCGTGAATATCATGAACTGGAACAACAACAAGAACAACAACAACCTCCATACACTAGTGATTCAGCATGCAGCGGCAGAAGAATCAAATCTAGAACTTTCGATGGCCCTCAGCCTCGTGGCGTCTTACACAATAGTAGTTGGTCCTCTTCCTCTTTCGATCGAGGAGGTACTCCGGACATCGATCAATACTATGCCGCGTCTTCTTCAAACAACAACGACAGCAAGGGAATAAATTTTCATGCCAGGAGTAGTGCTAGTGTTGCGAGAAGTGGTCTGTACATTAAGGCTTGCGAGAAGTGGCCATCTCCCCTAGCATCTTGCTCTCGTTTTGAAGGGAAAACGAGCAGATGCTCACCGAATCGGTGGATTCCTGCAAGTTCTAAGTACAACCACCACCCTCTTTCTTTCCAGGGTTCTTCAAGTCTGCAGGAATTAGCCTCTTGGGGACGCGGAAACACCACGACCAGGTCAGGTGGTGGTCAAGCTCGTAATCCTTGTGCTCCTCAGGCTTATAGTACGCTGAATGGTGCTGGTAGTCCTAGTGGGAAAGAAAGAGGCGAGACGGTTAAGGGAGGAAACGATAAAGGGTCTCACTCCAGTAAAGATAGTGGCACCTCGTCCACGTGGCATCAGCAGAAGGGCAAAAACGGTTGGAATTCTGAGCAAAAGAAGGGTGGTCTTAGAGCAGAAGGTAGTCAAGCACACAGCATGTCCTCTTCGCAAAACCAGGTAAAGAAGTCTGAGACAGTAGGTCTTAGTGGTGATATTAGGGACACAGGAACAAGAACTTCTATGAGTGTACAACAGGAGCAAGGCAATGCTGCTGATGGTTCTCGAACTACAGTCGGGTCGATGAATGCCCAAGCCAAGAAGAAGAACGACAAGAAGGAAAAAGTAGCGGATTCTGTGGCTCTTGCCGACGACAACCAAGAAAGACGACAATTGAAAAAGAAGGAATTCCGCGTAAGAATGCCTGTGGGCGAGATGGGCTTGTGGCTTCGCTCACTACCTCAGTCTATGTCTGAACAAGATATCCAACGAATCGCGGCATTTTTACAGGTGGACTGCATCGGAATCGCGATCCGGTAACATTAAAGTGGCCATTATTGGCTTTAGCTTTAGATAGTACTTCTACTTAACTGTAGTTTTACTTTCTTGGTAGTGGTAACTAGTACGGCGTTCTTTAGGAAAATGAGCACACAGCAAGTATTTCGGTAGCGCTACATAGTAAGCTTAGGAAAAAGAGAACGCACCAAGTAATTACTTTGCAAAAATTATTACAACTCTTCTATCAGGTACAAGCGTGCGACTTTGCGTTCTCGACTGCTAGGGCCCAAAGGGGTGACTTGCAAGCACTTATTCGGGGATCCTTGCTTAACGGGAAATTCGCTAGCGTTGATGATCCTCTTCAACAAAGGTGGGAAACCAGGCTCAGGTGGCAGCCAAGGACAGGAAGCTCTTTTGCTAGTGGCAGATAGAACCTCAGTCGACTTTCCTGCATACGAGGGAGACGACTTTGAGGATAAAAGAGATCCTGAAAGAAGTACAAGAACAACTCTAGCTTCTCAGCAGAATGGTGTAAATCCTCCAAACGCAAATGTCAAAAGTCAGATGAAGCACAAAGTAGAGCGTTGTGAGCGGTTGTTTTCGCTATGCGTTCAGATTCAAGAGTCAGCCGTTCGCTCGACTGGCGCAGAGATGGTCCCACGTGGGGAAATCATGCCTCGCGTTGCGATATCAGCCGCTTTGACACAGTTGTTGGCGGCGATCGTAGCGAGTCCCTCTCCTGGTCCTCTGAAAAATTGTGGAGTCGTGGATTCTGCTATTGAAGATGAAAATGAGTCCTCAAAACGTTCTCCAGACCCACCTTCTAAGGATCGTGCTGGGGATGAAGGTCGTGTAGATGAGCGTGAAGTAGAAAAGAAAGAAGTTGAAGGACAAGAAGGACAAGCAGTTGTAAGAACCTTACTGGAGAACAACAAAAAGATGGGCGACAAAAATAACAGCAGTAGTAGTACTAGCACAGAGATCCTAGCAGCACCTGCACCGTCAGCATGGCCGCGACTGAGTCCTTTGTTCTTCTACAGGGATTTGCGCTTCGAGTTCTTTCCGGAAAGTGAAGTCCACGTGGCGAATCACTGTGTGTTGCTCGATTTCCCGCGTGGAGGGGATACCATGCCAGTAGTCGACGACACGGCAACCACGCCGGACCACACCTATCACAACACTATGGAGGACGAGCAAGTAGGTCTCGTGGTGGCCCCTGTAGGAGGTGAAGAAGACACGGTGGTGAGAGGTGTCCTCGGGTCTACTTCTTCTTCTGCCTCTCTAGGGGACGAGTCGCAGCCCATCCAGAGCTGGAGAGGGTGCAAAGAACAGAAGTCGAAGAAATTCTCACTGCGAGACGGCAAGAGCACGCAGAAGAAGTTCTCGCTATTGCGAGACTACGACACCTTCCGGTCTGGCCACGAAGAAGAATTTCAAACGCCTTACCCCATTGACAAAGAGCTGCTCGAAGAGCAGAGCAAAGATGGCGCTTTTGTTTTGGAGGAAGGACAAGGAGGCAAAAATCTTAGTACTAATGGAAATAATGGTTCTGCTGCTGCTGTTGAAAGTGGACAAGAAAGTAGTCTTGCAAATGGACAAAGTAGTACGCATTTAGGAGAACTACAGGAGGAGACTTCGAAAAATGAGAATAGCAGCGGAGGAGATACCGCAGGTCTTGCAGAAGGTCGTGAGCAAACTCCTGCAATGCTAGGCAACCAGCAAAGCAAAGAAGTGGTAACATCAACTCCAACTACCTCTACTGCTTCTGCTGTGCAAAAGAACGAAAAGCCTTCGTCTGTAACTACTGCTTCTGCTGTGCAAAAGAACGAAAAGCCTTCGTCTGTAACTACTGCTTCTGCTGTGCAAAAGAACGAAAAGCCTTCGTCAGTAAGTACTGCTTCTGCTTTGCAAAAGAACGAAAAGCCTTCGTCTGTAACTCCACGTCAACCGACAAAAAAAATCGATTTCCAGTTTCTGAGCGCGCACGAACTAGTACGCTGCTGGGTGCGTTGGCACGCGGCGCGGGACGAGGAGCAAGAACAAGTGAACCAGTACCCCGCTGAAGGTCAACATCTAGGGGTAGTAGTTTCAAGGTGTTGCTGTCACCGTTCGTTTTGTCTTTCTGAAGGCGGAAAGGCAAACACCAAGAGGGGAGACAGAAACAGCAAGACCCTACCACCTCTAAGTCATGACAATCGGTATGCGGCATTCTTCGAAGCACCGCGTAGTCCCAGAATTTTGGAGGGGACAACAACGGCGAAAGAAGCCGCGGCAGACGACGCGTTCTATTGGGCAGTTTTTCATCCGCAGGAAGCGATCGAGCAACTGCGGTCTCAAATCGATGAACAGCAAGAGGCTGAGGCCAAGGAGAGGATGGCCGCTAAGATGGAAGGAAACACGATGCGAAGTACGGTGCAAGAAAGGCAGCAACTGCAACGTTCTGCAGTGACCCAATTTTTGGAACCTCAGCTGGTTCCTCTGACCTCGTGCGATTTGCATCTGTACGGCAGACGAGCGGATCCTAGGACGCCAGAGATGCAGGTAGACCGTGTGGCCTTCTGTTTCAAGGGCTCCTTTAGTACACAAGTAGTGACAAGAAATTGTGGCGAGGACACGCGAGGAGATGGCCTCCATGTGTCGATCAATAGTGATGTCGAAGAGATCGCCGAAAGAGCATGGGCTTGGGTGACACACTGGGAAAAGAAGAAGAAGTCTACTGGTGGTGGTGGTAGTGGTGGTAGTGGTCGTGAGACTGGAGGTGTGATTCCTTCTTCTTCTTCAAGCGGAAATGCTGTCAAACGTGGTGGTAGTGGTGCTGGTGCTGGTGGTGCTTCGAGATCGCAACAGCCTGCTGCTGTAAGTTTGACAGGAGGGGATGAAGGCATGACGAGAGAGTTGCAGGAAGGTCAGCAAGATGCTACCGATGTCGATCCTACGACGACCTCTGAGGCAGCACCTTTAGTAGTACCTCTCGAACATGGTGGAAAGGACGAAGAGCGACCAATCTACGTATTAAAAGCCGATAGTAATCGGAATACCGCTTGGGTCTTTGCTGGAGAAAACTACGTCGACGACCCTATCTTATCGGGAGAAAACTTAAACCATAGTACAAAGAGCAAGGGCGCGGGGTGTAGTAGAGTTGTCAGTAGCGTCGGGGTCAGTAGCGGTGTCGTTAGTGAAGATGGCAGTAAAAGCAGACATAATAAGAACAAACTCTTGTTTTGCAAGAGTCGCACGGCAGCGAGGTGGAGCGATCATCTTTTTGTCATGTCAGAGGAAGGAATTGAACCGGCAGAAATCGATATCGATGGATGCGTACCTTTAAAGAATAGATCCAACGTGAAGATGTTGTCTGCAACGAGGCGAAAGGACAAAAATGCTGATAGTTCTACTACTCTCCAAGCCCTCCAAGACAGTCGTGACAGTGACAGTGCTCGTGAAAAAGTTTTTCGGATCTTAGAGCGAGTGGCACAAGGGGGATATCGAACTGGCGGGAACATCATCAATAATATCAAGGGCATCGACCACAGTACGATGGAAGAACAGCAGATGCAGCTTGGTAGGAAAAACATTGGTAACACAGTCGCAGAACAAAGAAGAGTAGAGAAGAGTGGTGGAGAAGCTCCTTCTAGTGGTGGCGCTGCAGCTGCCACTCTATTAGAGTTAGGAACTTCGATAGCTTCCGTAACCGCAGTGAGGCTGGCATCAGCGGCCGCAGGTGCGTTCAATATGCAGCGACAAGGGAGCACTTTCTTCATGCGAGGACCGGAGCACCCATTTGAAGATTTCGAGTTGGATTTGCTTCCTCTCTTGTTCAACTTCTACGCCCAGGCAGGGTTATTCAGGACGCAGCTAGTCTTAAGGCTTGGACGTTTGCCTATGATCGTCTGAGAGCATAGAGTCTACGACCTCTTTTTGAAGGGGAAAGCCTCCGAGGGGAAAGGGGATAGATATGCGACCTCTAATAGTTCATTTCTTACGCCGTTTTCACAATTTTCAGAAATCTCTCGGAGGAGCAGGAGAAGAGCAGCACAAGAGCGCCCTTGTTCGGGGGAATAGTTTGACGACCGGACTTCCGAAGTCTCTGTCGGGCGGGAAAACTTCGTCCACTTGTCGTGGATCATCACTTAAAAATAGTTGTCGTGGAGGAGGTGTTGTAGAGGATACTAGCCATAGAAGCCAAACGCCGCGATCGTTGGCAGCTCAAATTTTGATGGTTGCTTATCCTGGCTACGAGGAGTTACAACTACTGCATGAAGAGTGCTCAATTGCTGACTTGCAGCAGTCTAGTCTACTCCTAGACTACTCCGCGTCAAATTCTAGTTTTCTAGACCTGCCACCGATGTATGACGGCGTCCGGAGTTTGCGTTCGGCGCGTAGTGAGCGGAACATTACTTTCTCGGAAGTAGTGTTGGGGCGAGAACGATCGTTGACGCACCGCGAAGAAGAAGAAAGGCTAGTTCGCGGCCTACATCAAGAAAATTACATAGGCGGGAACGTCGATGTGGAAGAGGAAGACGAGCAGGGCTATAAAAACAAGGGGCGCGATGGTGGTGATGAGTATCAACATGACTCTAGAACAAGCATGAAGATGATGAAGAACGGATACCATCACCAAGATCAGCGTGGAGGAGACCTTCTTCATCCTAGTGGAGCACCAGCTGTCGAACAAAGGACTTCTAGAGACACGTACCACTCTTTTGGACTACGTGGGAGCGGCAACAAGGTTCTTGGAGTTCTCTCTCGACCTAGCAGTGTTGGAAGTAATTCAAATTCATCCGCGAGGAAAGAACAAACTGCCTCGTCAACCGCTTCTGGGACCTCGAGCGGTACTTCTCCCATGTATCAACATTCAAGTCCTGGTGGCCTCCAACATCAGCATGATAATGTTGACCAACAACATCTCCAGCAACAGCAGCAGCAGCATAGAGATAGAGCTGCAGGAGGAGGGGCGGACCAACGACATGATCATAGAGAGGATAGAGCGGTAGACCAAGTACATCATAGAGGGGATAGAGCGGTAGACCAACAACTACTACCTAGAGTAGATAGAGTCGGAGGAGTCTCGCGAGGAGCGTCTAGCAGAGTGCTGTTCCAACCTGGCTGGAGAGGTGTGGATACACCGGGAACGGCGCCAAGGTTTGAGACTCCTAGAACACTACTTGGCGATGCCGATTCCCTTGCGCCCGCCAGCTCAAGCGACGGCGAGTCGTCCCCTCCCACACTCAGGCTCCAAATATTCCCTGCTGGCACGATAACTTCCTCAGACACGAGTGGTGCGGGTGAAAAGAAAAGTCATAGTTCGGCAGATGATGTCGAAAATGTCAATGGAACTTCGACGTCCAAGGGTGAACTGCACAGCCTAAATTGGAGGAGTTCGCCGACGCGCGCAATGGGTGCCTGTGATGATCTTAAGACTACAAGAAACCCATCTTCCCAAGAACAAGCCTTTTGATGATCCTCCCGTTTTTTGTCAAGCTGTACATTTACATATGAGATCAAAGACAACAAGGGAGTACTGCTTAATCTACATTTAAAGGGACTAAAACAGACACCAAGATGAAGGAGCCCAAGATGGATTTCTGGTAGTTCTAATGATCGCGGCAAACGAGCGCCGCCTCCTGGTTTGAGCTCACGGGGAGTTGGAGGCTCCCAGAAAGGCAGTTCCCTAAGTCGTGGCGCTTCCTCGTTTTCAGCATACTCAGCGGGAGACTATATCAAAGGGTCATCGCTGAGAACGATGCAGAATAGAGGTGGACCACCGGTCGGACCTTCCTTTAAGGCTACCGCTCGAGCATGTCTCCTTAGTATTATCATCCGCTTGGTCTGTTTTTTCTCTACTTAAAAAGGATACTACTATTACTTTCAAGCAACAAGATGCTATTAACGCGGTAGTTCTAATTCCTCCTCGTCTTCGAGACACCGACGTGATGACGAGCGGTCGGATCGGGATTTGCAAGAGAAAATGCGCAGTTTTTTCGACCGATTGGGTGACGGAGACGTGGATCTAATCTCTTCTTCGGTTAAGTCTGCCGCGCAGCTTTCTCTTAAGGCCGGTTTTGGGAATCCATCAATTTTCAATGTATCTCGGGGAAAAAGCAACATGATAAGCAAGAACTTACTCACTCACTCTCCACTCTAAGGCTCGTTGGGGCAACTTGAACGTACTCTCTAGTTTAAGAATGACATACCCTCTACTCACCTAAGAGAGGTTAAGGGCGGGGGCAACTTGAACTTACTCGCAAATGCCCTAAGGATATTAACTTACTCTCTATGCAAGAACTTACTCACTGACTGCCATTTGTTGTCACTTAGTCACTTATCTGTCAATTACTGTCAATTACTCTCTGTCTAAGGGAGGTGGAAAAACAGGGGATCGCTCCGAGCGAGGCAGAAAGGCGAGCGAGGTTACTACAGCGACATTGTCTACCACCATCTCAGCATCCGTTTCCGCTTCAGTTTCCACCCACCGCTACGGCTCGTCGCGATAAATCGTTGGAAGATGGTGCTCTGGCTGAATCGATTGTTGGCGTAGCATTTGATGAAAATAGCTTGTGGTCTAGTAGAAGTCCTCTCAGGTCTCGTCTCTCCGGCCATCAGGAAAGTCGAACTTGAAGATGGATCGTTGAACTTGGAGATGAATCGGCGGACAGAGTAATCATGTTGGACTTTCCTTACTAATCCACTAAGAATTCTCACTAAGGATTTCATCTTCTACTCTGTATCAATGCAAGACTTTCATCAAGGAAGAAACATGAGAAGCAATGGTGGGTCTTGCATTAATGAATACGCGCTACTAATAGAAGACGAGGTGGATCACTCGTCCCGGCCGATTTTTTATGACGAACAGAGGGGGCCAGCTGCTCTTTTTAGAAGAGTATCTATGTGCTGATGCTCTCCGTCCGAAGGAATGCAAAGTACCTCTTGCTCGTCATGAATAGTAATTAAGAGATGTTCCCCTTGATGTCTAAGAGTATTGACTATTACAGCCTCCGCTCTGCAGCTAGTCCAATGGTCCGTCGGTTGTATAGGTGCTATGTGTGTTGGGTTGATGAGGAGACGAAGTAAGTTGAAACGAAATAAGCATAACGAGCCTGCTCCTCGACGCGCGCGCCGCGAAACTATGACAAGTCATCAAACTAAAGGATGAAACCAGAAGACGAGGTGTAGCAGAAGACAACCTTTATAGAAGGCGAGACGCTAGGTGGTAATTACGATTTCACTTGTTAAATCTTGGCTAAATTGAGGTCGGGCGATCGGTCGTCTTAGCGCTTTCCGCGCTAATTGGTTGGTGGCAGTTTATGCCATCAAGTCTAAGCCTTTAAAGCTTACGGCATTACATGTTTTGCAACTTGTTCTTTCCCGCCCTCCTCTCGAATGAATAAAACGAGACTGCCCCAAGGATTCAATGAGGGAGCAGGATCCACCTGGAGGTGATTCGTCACATTGCTGACCTTTGGCGATCTTGTGCCTACATTAGTGCGAATTTCTTGGAACTAGTTCTACAAGGATCGCGAACGCGTCAAGTATAGCAGGGTCTTTCTAGTATTGCGAGAGTCACTGTCTGTTGGAGAATTTGAATCCAGATTTTTGGATCAGAAACATCACTTGGACCACCTCGGGGCACTTCTCAATCTACAGGTAGTTATGAGATAATTTTTCCTCATCGTCCTAGGTTAGTTCCTCCAGCCTCAGAAATAGTATGAGTGAGTTGCTCCCCAGAGGTGTGAGCACTAATTATTCTCAGCTTCTCCAGTATCAGAAATATGAGATAATCAAACACATAATAAGTTGCCGCCGGGCAGAAAGTGAAGCAGAAAAGGGACGAGGGTGGAAACTTTCGCCCGGGCAGAAATTGAAGCAGAAAAAAGGGACGGGGGTGGAAACTTTCCCCCGGGCAGAAAGTGAAGCAGAAGAAAGGGAGGCGGGTGGAAACTTCCCGCCGGGCAGAAAGTGAAGCAGAAGAGGGACGA